TATATATATATATATATATATATATATATATATGCATAGATACATAATATATGTAAATATGTAGGTATATGCAGAAATGATCTTTTGCAAGAAGCTTTCACAAAGAGCTTTCACCATGAATGGCGCATCCAGTCGTTATACTTGATCCTTCTACGATAACCCTTGGCATTTTACCTTTATACTCACGAACAACTGCCAATGTTTACGTGACAATCCATATTCAGAACAATTTTTCTTTATCTCTTCTTTCCTTTCCGTCGTCGGAGAAAGAAATAAAGAAAATAAAAAATGAGAAAAGAAAAACTACAGTCATCAGAGGGTTAGATGAAGAATCTAGGAGATCGTAGGGGATCAGAAATATTTTGCTATATATATATATATATATATATATAAGAAGCATAAACAAGTTTTGCGTGTATAAGATTCCATTCATGATATTTATCGGCAAAAAGTGTCAGTTCTTGGTTCAGTCGAATGTTTCATGGGAAAAGGGGTGGGTTCGTGGTGGTGGGCTCTTTGTTAAATCCGAGGAATATTTTTCAAGTAGTATCGTCTCGAGAATAATCAAGGAATTTTTCAAGAGAATAGTATATATCTTTCGTGAGATAATAATATTTTATCTACCGTGTTTTTTTTTTTGCGTTTTTTTTTTTTTTTTGTTTTTTTACTTTTTTTACTTTTTTTTTCTTTTCTTTTCTTTTTGAGGGAAAAAACAGCAAGGAGCAAACAAAATAAGAAAATACAAAGAAGATAAATGTCTTCGCGTTGAGCTAGTTTAAAAGATAGACATTCGGGGTGGGGGGTGGGGGGAGGAGACTTAGGGTTGACTAAACTACAAAGTACTTTTTTAGACGTTCCATTAAAGATAGTAAAGCGATATGTTTACGTTACATTATCTCGTTGTATTTAATTGTTGATTTCAAGCATTTACACCGCATCTGATATTGCAATTATTTTTATTAAAAAAGGGAATGAATTTTAAATATTTAAATTTAATTTATGAAAAATGTATTAAAATGATTAATCATTTCTATAAATATATAATATTTCGAATAAAATAATAATTTATACGTATAAAATGAGGAAATAAAACTAAAATAAGTCCTTTTAATACGTATCGGAAAAAATCTTAAAGAAAATTATTTCAATGTATTATATTTTTTCCAATCATTTATTTTCTATATCTTTTTTTTTTTCCTTAAGTTTCTTTACTATTCATCTATCATATTAATAAATAATAACGAAAGCGTCAGTTTTTATTCTTTTTCATCCGTTCGAAAGTTTGACAAGAAAATGAAATAAAAGTTACAAGGTTCCGTTCCAATTTGATATTATTCTTTTTATTTCTTTTTGCGTTTTGATTTTCAAAAGTTTTACAATATACAATAATATCATTTGACCGGGTTAAACGAGACGACCTTTTTATAATAGTTCCTTTTTGTATGTCAAATACAAGTACCGAGACGAAACAATTAATTCGACGAATTCAATCAAATTTCATTAGATTTGTTCGTATTTTCTTTTTTTTTTTTCAATTTATATTTAATTATGATTTTCGTTTAATCAACATTTAATATCAAAGACGCGCGTTAAATATATAGAAATAAATTTATTATAAATATGTTATATATATTTATATCTGTCTCTTTATATATGCACGTTCGTATGACATATTCGTTACAAACATAGATTACCCTAATTTAATTGTATTATATAGAAATTTAGATGCAATAATACTATCGTATTAAAGTATTACGTGTTATTATATATTATATTAAACGTATCTCGTCATCGATTGTTTATAAATGCTTTATTTTATATATATTTGAGAAAGAAAAACAATATAATGATATTATAATGTTTTAAAAAAAAAATAGGAGCAGTAAAGTATTAGGTTGATCGATATTTTCTTTTAAAGGAGAAAGTTTGACACTATTTGGTAAATCAAGCATCGTCATTGACGTCATCCAACAAATCAAAATGGAAATTCTCTTTTTCCTATCATCAAAGGCATGTAAATACGTGTACTGGATGATTAATTGTTACCAATTAGAGTATATATTGCTTTAGCAAATTGAAATACATTTTAAATAAAATGAATATGTATACGAACGGGCACACATAAATGTTACGTATATAAAACAGTAATTTCAACTGGCTACATTACATTTGTGTATGGATAAATCATTTAAATACGCGATAATATCGTTTTATATTATGTTTAACATAATATATATGACGGAAAATAAATTCATCTTTGAAACAATGTATATTTAAATGAAACATTAGATAAAAAGTAATATAATTAATTGAATATATGTGAAATATTAATCTCACCTTTGTGAAAGATGATCCTCCTTCGACGTATCCTTGACACACGATTATTAACGTTAATTAATTAATTAATTAAAAAAGCAAAGAGATAAGATCCTCGTTTGCTTAATCTTAGATAAGAAAAACTCGTCGGATGATAATATCGAAGTTTCGTAATTACCAAAACGAAAGAGAGAATACACTTTTCCCTGAGTCAAACGTTTAGAAGTTCACTGTTATTTTCCCCCAAGAAAAAGATTTGTTGCTTGATCCTTCTTCTTCTCCTTGAACGTATTAGTTAAGATTTACCTTGTTCCTTGGGAACTTCGATTAGTTTCTTAAAACGGATTCCCCTACTCGTAATGTGACAACATTTTGCTGGATGGTGTAACTTTTTTATACTGTTTTCCGAACAGTTGTTGATCAGGGGTTGTGATTTCCTTTCTCTTTCTTTGTTTCTTCTTCTCTTTCTTTTTTTCTTTCCTTTTTTCTTTCTAGGGGATGATGGCTGTTTCCAAATTGAATAGAGCTGATTCGGTAGCAATCGTATTCTCTTAATAGACAAGAAGTAATCCCCTTAATGTAGATCTCGTAGTACGATATTTCACGAGTTAGGAATGTTACAATTGAATTGATTTCCATCTATCATGAATCATTTTTTCATTAACTTATCCATGTCCTTTCAATTTTTTATCTGTTCGAAACAAATATCTCTGTTCAATTATATTTAATTTCATTTGTACATAAATATAAAAAAAATTATTTCTTTATAATAATTTTCTTTAC